AAGTATGTGACTGTATATGAAGATTGTAACCTCCCTAGCCTTAAAAATAATTCCTTTAATAGGAGGCAATTCACCAATTGCCTCAAGCATAAGATCTACGCAATGTGCAACACAAGGAGTCCAAAATATGCGAGGCCTCTTTTGTCGAAGCAAATGATCTGCAGCTAGATTTGGAGCAGCATTTTCTGTGACCACTTGAATTACAAGTTCCTCCCCAACCTCTTCAATGCCCTTATCAATGAAAGAAATTATATAATGTGCATCATGAACATCATTGGAAGCATCGATTGAGCACAAAAAACTGTACCCGTGGGACAATTTACTAATAAATTCATGTTACTCCTCCTATCACTCCACATATTTGTCATCAAAGAAACCCCAAATTTAGCTCATCCCTCCTTATGAGTCTTGAGATATTCGTTAGTGTACTCGACTTCTTTCTTCAAAAGTGGCTCTCCAATCTCATAAGGAGTTGGAGCTTTCAAACCTAGCCCAAATTGCCCAATTGCTTCCAACATTATATGGAAGCTATTCAAGCGAGTAGTGTTAAAAGAAATGCTCGCATGGTAAAACCACCGAGCAATATACTGAATCACCCTGGCTCTATCTTCCTTTTAAACCTATTTTCAATTGTCACCTATTTTTTCCCCTTTCCCCTTTCCTTTGCCTTTCTCAGTTACTGTCTCAGGGCTAGGTGTAAAGAAACTATTTATAAGCCCTCTCGTACGAGCCTTCTTAGACCCAAAAGCCCTCTTGGTCTTAGAGCCCGCAGAAGACATCTCAAATTGAAAAAATAAAACTTAAATAAAGATTACAGACTGACCTCTTCTACCCAATCTTTGATCTTCGATGTTAGTTACCTCAATCTAGCTACGAATCAACTCAAAAGTCTTCTAATACCACCTTAAAAATAATTTCAAGAAAAACAAACTTTTTCAGTCCACAAGAAGCACTTTTGATTTTCAGCAATTGCTTTAGATTCTCAGAAATAAGTTAAGATTGATGGTTTTTTTTTTTTTTTCAGTTTGGGGTTGAAAAATAAACCACTAAACTTCTTCTATACAAACTTGGGGGTCAAAATGACCCCCTTTGCCCTTTTGGGTGAAGTTTAAAAAAAAAAAAACCTAAACTGTGCTGGGCGCTCGCTCAGGTACACCCGCCCGTGTTGGGACGCCTAGGTCGAGGCATGCGGAAATTTTTTTCTGGGCGCCTAGGGGCCTAGGCACCGGGCGTACTGTTTTTTTAAACATTGATGATGGATCATGCTTTTGATGAATATTTAGGAATTTTTGAGAATTTTTTTGTAGCAAAATTTGAGTTTTGAGAAATTGTTTTTGAGAAATGAGAAAGGATTGTGCCCCTATGGCCCACATGTGACACCCAATGGGTGTGACATGTTGCTGACGTGGTCACTGCCACATGGGCCTGATGTGATGATAATGTCACCCCCCTATCGGGATGTACTTGTAATTTTTATAATTGTTTGAATTGGGATTTTGAATTATGGAGTTCTTTGAGAAAATAGAAATTGAATTTGAGCACATGTTTAATGTGGGGACTTGGTTGTTTATGTCCACATGGGGTGATCTTCTAGAAGGGTTATAGAGTTTGATGTCATCATTGAAACCCTAAGTCCTTTTTGAATTAAGCTTATAACCATCCCAAGTGGCATCATATGAATTACTGCACATGCACACCTAGATGACATGGAATTAGTGGCAAATTTGAAATTCAAATTGTTTCTAGAAGTTTAGAACATTTGCATGTGGGTCACGCCCAATGCCTAGGCTTTGTCTTTTTATTTGTTGAGTTAGCATGGGTAATTCTGGAAACAAGTTGAATTTCATGCCAATTTGTGTTTCAGTTTAATGATGGAGAATTTGGAGTGAATTTAGGGTTTATCAGGAGGATAATGGTGTTTAATGTCATCCACTCATCAAGATGGCATGATGACTGATGAGTGACTAGGATCAAGCCCTCTTTCATGCCATGGATGACTTGTGTCATTGACCAAGATTAACTCATCTAGAAGCATGTATTACACTACCTATAATTAGGGCCTTGATCACCCTGTTTGGTGAGTCTAATTGATCTACAGTGTGGTCTGCCCCTAGGCTTCTTTTTCTCTCTCCTCACCATTTGAATTCTTTCTAGAGAGAGAAATTGATTGATAGTGTGGCACGCACCCCTTAGTTCACTCCTCTTCACATGAGTAAGATCTCAGTGTGAGAAAATGAGGATTAAAGTGTGAGTTCTAAGTTAGAGAAAGTGAGATTGAGGGTCCATTAAATTTTCATCTCATGCTTGGTGATGAAACCCTAGCTCCGTGGTGATTCAATTTTGGAGAATTCATCATCAAGCGATGTATCTGTAGAGGTTTTGGTACCTGTAACTCTTCATTTACAGCAGTGTATCATTGTCCCATGCCTGGATATTTCATGGGTATTTTATTTCAAATTGATCCTATAGTATGGGTCTTTAATTCCTAGTTCTTTGATCATATTTTAAAGAGAATTTTTTTGAGTATTCTTGAGAATTTATTGACTAATGGATGCAAATCAGTTCTTAAATTTGGTGAAATATTTGGGGAAACTATACCAAGATTTCCCCACATCTATACTACATAATTCATCATCAAATTGTGAGTAATTGGGGACCATTTTTCTCACTTTCCTTTTCTCACAATTTTCAGCAAATTTCTTGAGCCTCTCATTTTTTAAAACGTGCCACTTTATATGATTCTTAATTGCTTGCCGTAAGATGCAGTGAAATTGGCCATCATCTTGGTGCCATTCGAGTCATCTTTCCATGGTATGCAACTAAGTCTTTGGCCATAAACCAGGCATAGAGAACTTGACCTATGGCTTCCCATGATCAAATTTAATGTGCACTTTTAAGTGTTTGTTTTGGTGAAGAAGTAGTTTGTATATGAGTTGTTTGATGGAATTGTATATGAGTTGTTTGATGGAATTCAAAAGTGATGTATAATTTGGCATTCTAATTTGTACAACGCCGTATCTTGTGGCAGTTGAGTATTATTGTCTTGTTTGTTCTCAATCTCCTTTGACTCTTGTGTTTGGACTTTGTCACGGGACCTAATAGAGTTGTGATTTTCCTTTAAAGGTTGCTTATTTTGACGCAAGATTCTTGTAATTTGGAGCTATTGTAATGAGAAAAATTTCAAGTGTCGTCACTTGGACTTGGCTTTATACGCTATCAGGGCAGACCATTCATAATGGGACATGGGCTAGTAATTGTTATGCTAGTTGGTGGGCAGCAATGGTGGTGCATACCTTCATAACCATGATATCGATGGGTGAGTGTGTGAGTGCATGTTTAGGGCTAAATAAGCTCCTTTTGGAGGCATCTGTGGCTGTAGATGAGCGGGTGTATGGAGTGAGACAATTACTGGCTAGGGGTCGTTATGTACTTTGTGTGTTCATTGTGTGCTTGTCTTAAAAATGAAGTCCGAATTCGGGCTATGACCTGTCGAGTTTTAGAACAATGGGATGGATCTTGGTTGGTAATGTTCTATATATTTACCATTACACTGTAACAATTTGTTTCCTCTTCCAATATCAGTAATATGATGTTTTTTTATGTTTTGATTTTGGGAGTAAGGGTATAAGCATAATTTGTGCCAAAGGTTTTTCAAGCATTCTTTGAACGATAGAGGAGCGAGCTATAAATGGTGGCCACATCGCATTTATATAGTCCTAGGCTATACAAACCTCAATTCCTTTGTATGTTATGTGTGTGGGTTGTGATTTTATGCTTATACATCATTTCCAGAAAAGGAATGGAGATCTGAGTGGTGGATATAGCACCCATAACTGTTTGACATGCACATAATGCCAGTAGTCCCCTGATTTTGTTTCTTCTTAAATTAAAATGGAGGTAGCACACAATAACTGGTTGACATGTATTTATATCATCAGGCCTGATGTTTCTTCTGACTAAGAAACAGCTTAACACTATGTCGAAATTAAATGTGTCTCACATGTAGTGTTGGGCATTGACATAGCAACATGTATGTCTGACACTCCAAAATGGTATGCGACACCTGGTCACAGGTTTGGGGGCTATTTCAAAAATTCTGTCCCTTCCCACACTAGTATTTTTGTAAGACACATCTAAGCTGCAAGACATACATGTCTTAGTTGCAAAACGCACACGTCTAGGTCGCAAGACATGCATCTAAAATTCTAGGCACGCATGTCTTACTTGTAAGACATGTTTTACGTTTTAAATATAATTTTTTTTAAAGTTAGTAATAGTTTATATACCATATTTTGCTTCTTTTTGTGTGGTTATTAGTTATTACTTTTAATGGTAATTTATTGGTATTAGATGTGATAATAAATTATTTTCATTCCATTTATATATTTTTAAGTATCGAAAAATTTTAAATCAAAATTGTCTATATAAGACATGTTAGCTAATTTTCGGACACGCATGTTGACCAAAGTGTCATATCGACATGCAAAAATGACAATTTCTTTTTTTTTGTGTTTTATAGAGGTTTGGGTGTAATACCTATTTTTTTAAGCGGCAGTGTCTGACCGCTTCTATCTTCGTCAATGCTCAACTCCCTTAGGTCCTTCTTTATGTCGAGAGTAGCTCTGTTGATACCTACCTAGTTGGCTATGCTAGCCCTACTTGTAAATTCCGATTTAGTCTGGGTGGGTAAGGGTTTGCATTGTGTATTCCTCTCCATGGTTTCCTTATGATCATGATACTTCGTAGTGACATTTGAAATATCAAAATGCTTAGTGACATGGTTGTGTGATTTAATTCATTGATATTGACATCAGAAGATTATATGATTCCATTCGTTGATGTACATATCCAAATTGGAACCAGAAATTAAAAGAACTTGGTTATTAGTAAATTTTGAATTTAGTAATTGTTGAGTGAATATTTTTGTTGTGCTTTTGTTCCAATTTCAACCTGATTTTTCATCCCAAACTGTGTTGACGAGGTTATATGTCTGGCTGCAGAAAAACCATTGAAGAAGTTGGATTATCCGATACAGTGCTGGATATTCTTGCTCAGCAGTTTCAGACAAATGCTCGTGAAATAAAGGTATTGTCAAACTGCAGGGTCATGATCAACTTCAAAATCCAATTCCTTCAGGTGTATGAAAAACTCATCTTAGTATTCCTATCAAATCTGTTGGTGGTTTTTGCTATATATCTTATATCAGGTGATTCTCCAGGATTGTAAAATTGGAGTTTAGCTGTTTCCCATTCTTTCCGTGCTGGCTTTACAGACTATGAAACAACGTCAAACATCTTATACAGGCAAGATATGAATTATTATTAAATCAAGACAAAAGTAAACAATACACCAGTGAGGAACTCAATGCGCAACGTGAGGATGCCCTTGCTGGAAAAGATCTGGATGCTGCTCTTGACTCTTTTGATAACCTGTTTTGTCGTCGTTGTCTGGTATGACGTTTCTTTTATGCAACCACTTATTGTATTCCAAATTTGTTGGCAACCACTTATTGTATTCCAAATTTGATGGCTTTCTCTGGTAGGTTCTTCCATGCAACTAATTTTATATTCAACTTTATTTGCTTCATTGCCTGAACTGAGTTAATTCTTTTTTCTTTTTCTTTTTCTATGTTTTTTCTGTCGCAGGTTTTTGATTGCCGATTGCATGGATGTTCTCAGGACCTAGTTCTTCCGGTACGATGATGACTGTTATTCTGTCCACAATTTTTGGTGGTATCATGATTTAAAGTATATTCTATATCTGTTGTTCTTCATTATAGGCTGAGAAGCATCCACCTTGGAGCAACACGAATGATGATGAACCTTGTGGCACACATTGCTATCGCCTGGTATATACTATTCTTTCATTTTCTTTTGGCAAAGAATGACATACTATACTGTTTGAAACTGTCAACCTGCACAAGTAGTGAGTCTTTAATGTGATGTATTATCTGATACATATATTGCTAGATTATAATCTAATTTTCTACTTGAATAGTTCATCTTACTTGTGGAGTCTAATTTTCACTTGTATTACAGGCATTGCAATTTGGAACTAATGGTACTGCTAGTGCATCTGTGGTTGTATTAGACGAAAAACCGGTCCCTTCATTCTTTAGTGCTGATGGTCAGATGTCCTTCCAAAAAATATCTGGTGGTTCGTGTGCTACTAGGAGGTTAAAGTCACGGCAGACTGATACTGCTTCTTCCACTGCAAAGCATTTATTAGCAAGCAGTAGCTTGGAAGCCTGGTCTAGGAAAACCAACACTTTGTTAAACCATTCTGGATCTCCTCTAAAAGCTAAGCAGGTTGGAATATATGGAGGGACTTGTAAGAGAAACAATAAAAGGGCTGCTGAGCGAGTTCTTGTTTGCATTCGTAAGAAACAAAAGAAAATGGCGGTTTCGGACTCAAACACTGGTGTAAGTGGCTCTCTTTGGCCAAGGGATATGAAACTTCGATCTAACTCTCGGAAGGAAATTTCGGATGCAACATCATCCACTCAAAGATTATTTTCGAAGTCTCCAAAATCCAGAAAATCTCGAAAGCAATCTTCCCCCATCCCTTATGATGCCAATTTGGTGGACGAGAATGTTGATGATGAAGTAAAGGACTCAATGGATAAGGAATCAAAGATGCATAGCGGACAAGAGATATCCCGAGATGACAGCTGTGCTAATGCAAATGTCCTTAAATGTGAAGTGAGTAAGGACAATGCTTGGAAGACCATTGAGAAGTCTTTGTTTGCCAAAGGTGTTGAGATCTTTGGTAGGAATAGGTCAGTTGGACACAACATTCCTCACCTTTTCTCCTCATGACACAATTTCATGGGTATATGCTTTATTTGGCAACAAGTTCTCATGCCCCTCACTTTTCTTGTCTCTTTATTCTCCTGTGTTTTAATCCCTTAATTTCTTGAACATGTTTATTTCATAAGAAATATTGATTATGAATGTAAATTACATTAACTTCGAAAGCGCTCTGATTTAGTTTTCTTTAGTTGTATTCAAAAGGGAAATTGCTAACCTTGTTCCTTTCTCTATGGTCTTCGGAAAGCTTAGTTTTTATCCTTAAGAGGTTCTAAATGCCATTATCCTTTATGATATTCTAGTACATCTTGTAGTATTGGTTCATTCCAGGCAGTCGCCTTTAGTCTCTGCACCGAGTTTATTGGCAGATCACTGTGAGTCCTCCTGGCTACTCTCTCTCTCTCTCTCTCTCTCTCTCTCTCTCTCTACTACTACGTACGTACGTACGTACTACTACGTTACGTACTACGTTACGTTACGTTTACGTTACGTTTACGTTTACGTTACGTTTACGTTACTTA